CCATGCCTGAGATATATGACACCCTGTCTAAAAGCAGAGAAAGCATCCTGTAATGATGAGATGTGGGGACACTACTGTCAGGCCTTAGGAAAGCCTTTAGAGTAAGAATGTGGGGAGAAATAGTCTCCATTGTCCTCCTCAATTGGTAAATAAATCAATAAGTAAAGATCCACCTACTTATAGCAGCAATGCTCACTTAAGTACATTAACACAGAGATATGGTGAGAGGAAATGGGTTGTTTCCTCTAAATCCTTCCTAAACGAGCAGAAGTCTAGAGAGAGATGCTTCAGCCAAGTTAGTCTCAACTATCAGCACTGCCCAGGAAGTGATTCTATTTGTGAGAATGGGATGTATCACAGAGTATGACTTCAAACCAAACATACCTTCGTATGTGGTGAGTTTTTCTAGCAGGAATATGCCTGTTTTTCTAATATCCCCATGCCTCTTGTTCATAGGAAGACCTGTTTTTGGAATTACCTTTCTGCCAGCAGTGGTTCTTACCATTCACAAATGCCAAAACAAAAGCTGGGATGTTACCAGAGTGGAAAACCTGCTAAGGTTCTTTCTGAACAAGAATCTTTGAATGTAAGGGTTCCTTCTCAGCTTCTGGTGAAATCACATGCACTTGAAGAGACTGGCTTACATGCTTAATGGATTTCTCTATAGCAAGAACTAAATTAACACACAGAGCCCAACCTTCAATAAACACCCATCTTTGCTTTCAAGTCTATGTGGAGAAGAGGCTGGCTGTGCCCCTTACACTAGACCGAAAGATCCCATTAAATATGGATAGAGCATCTAGAAAAACAAGTTCTATTTGTGTTTGATAGCTTCTGAGATATGATGAAAATGTTTACAACCTAGAACATGAAGTTAAAATGAAAATATGCAAGCATAATTCCAAGACATGCTGTTCAAGGTCAAATCGTAAGAAGATCAAGTCCACTCTCAGAGCCTTAATGTTTAAATTCACCTAATACTAATTGATTGTTGATGACATTTCAGGTTAAATAAATTCATAATTCCTCTTTTCACCTCTCCATCTGTATAACATAGTATATCATTAAATGCTGTCCAGCATTCAATCTCAAATATTACAGCTAATGTGCTCACACTAATTAATCTTTATGTTTTTGTTATCTTATCAACAAAAGAAATAATGAATATCACCTAAGTGATAAAATAGAAAAATATGTAAGATTTTTATTCTGCTGAAAACATTTAATAGCTGTCTAACCACAAGGGCACAAAAACAGTATCGTGATTTTGTAAGACACAATTCTCAGGCTATTTTAATACCTTGCTGTATTTTTTTATGATCCACATGCCATACATTTTCACATAAATTTTAGTTGGTAACAGACATGATTTTCTGTCCAATTTACATAATTCTTTGTCTTCTTTTTGTTGCTATTGTTTTTGTTTGTTTCATAATCGGGTTTTATATTATAGCCCAGGTTAGCCTCAAACTTGTAGCCATTCTCCTATCTCAAAAGACATCTGGGTCCTACTGACAAGAATGTTTCTCCTTACATTTGAGCCGTCCTCTAAGAAGGTGAAAAAGTCACAGACAGCTCTGTGGCCTGCTGAAGGGATAACTACAAGCCCTGTTCCCACAGGAAAAGACATATGCAGAATCTGTTAGTGACTATGGCTCCTATCCTATGAATGACTTGTGAACCCAATGTCAAGTAGGGTCAGTGAGTGTACCATGAGCTTGAATACTTAGCTTACCCTAGAAAAACTAAAACCTATGATGAATATTCCAGTGACCATGCAATGGCTACAATGAAAAACCCTATTATAAAATTCTAGAGTCTAGTTCCTTGCTTGGTCTATAAAGGTCATTTTTTAAAACTATACTATTCTCTACATCCCCAACTGTTCTGTTATTGCTACATTTTTTAAGGTTAAATATGTATCTAATTATTGCTATTGCTGCTAAAAGTAGAATTAAGTAAGAGGTAATAAAAATTAAAAATACTATGAAGGCAGAACCAAGACTTAGACACTGCTAGCTCCTTATTATGCAGGTCTAGCGAATGGAAGGAATTTAAGGAAACCCTTCCACTTGTTGTGTGGCTGCTCTCTGTTAGGTGGCCAATAAAACAAAGCTTGCAGAAGAATAAATCAGTTCCAGCCATTTTAAGCTTGAGGAGCTTATAAGACAGAAAGTAGAAGCATCTAATATTCATAACTGAAGCAGAGAAGAAATATCAGGGCTGAAGACTGCCATGCCAATCTTTTGTATCTAAAACCATATTGGCAGGGGAGAGTCATGCACCTCTCCTGAAGGCTGAAGCAGGAGGAGCCATTAAATCCACACACTGAATATCAGTCTAGGCAACAAATCAAGATCCTATCTTGAAATAAATATAATTTCTGAGTCCATGACCAAAACTACAAGACCAAAAAGCAAGTGGGGGAAGAAAGAGTTTATTTGTCTTACACTTCCACATTACTGTTCATCATCAAAAGAAGTCAGGACAGGAATTCAAACAGACAGCAAGCTGGAGGAAGAGCTGATGCAGAAGCCATGGAGGGGTACTCCTTACTGGCTCACTTCCCATAGCTTGCTCATCCTGATTTCTTATAGAAACCACAGGCCAGGAAAGGAATAACCCTCAATGGTCTAGGCCCTCCCCATCAAAACACTAATTAAGAAAACAGCCAGATCTTACGGGAGGCATTGTCTCAAGTGAGGTTCCCTCCTTTAAGATATCTCTAGTTTGTGTGTCAAGTTGACAAAAGACCAGCCAGCACACCAGGAAAGTTGAAAATGGAGGGGAAAAGCTCACAGGATCAGGAGTGCTACCCATATTTAGAGAGTGGCATCAGGAGAGTGGCAAAAGAACACTTTTAAATTCAATTTATAGGAGGTAAGCAGCTGGGGAGAATGGGCAGAGGACAAGCACTTGCTGTACAGGGATGAGGACAAGTGTTCAAAGTCCCCAGAACCAAAGTAAAGGCCCAACAGGTGTGGCAGCTGCCTGCAATCCCAGCATGCCCTGGGCTGAGAAAGGGTGTTCCTAGCTCTACCTCACAAGCTGGCTAGCTAGATTAGCCTGGAATCCAGGAGCTCTGGGTTCAGCAAAGAACCCCACCTCAACAAATAAAATGGTGATCAAGGAAAACACCCAATGTCAACGTTGGTCTTCCACATACAGCTTTCACACACTGTACATGTACACACACATACACACTCACTGTTTTGTACTAAGTTTCTGTACACTACACCACGACAGAGCAGATTAAAAATCAAAGTAGAGTCACTTGTCACCAGGCTGAAACTAAGCTGTTTATCTGCCCTTCTGGAAAAATAAAGAATTAGAGAGATAACAGACAAATTTTCCAGGATAATAAAATTCCTCTGCCTTAATCTTAAGACACAAACACTGCTCTGGTGCTAAGCAATCACTTATTTTCCTACTGCTCTGCATTACTGCCCATGCCATGCAAGGATAAAGGATAAAGGAAAAGACCAGTCTTCTTTTGTTCATTGCTTCTACTTTTCCATCCCTTCTCTTCCTACAAAACCAATGTTATGTTCAAAAAATCAGAATGCTTATTCTATTCTATAGGATGAAATGTTGCTTAATTATAGAACTGAAAATAAGGCCAGTTAAGATATTTAGATGCAGTGGCGCCTGCAGGGAATCAGGAGAATGGAGAGTTCAAGGCCACACTGGGTTACGTACTAAGATCCAGTCTCAAAACAAATCCAACTAACCAAATATATGTATTTGTGTGTAAATGAATATATATGTATGTATCCTACATATACATGTGTTTAAATGAATACATATGTGTGTATATATATATATATATCCTATATATACATATGGTTGTAAATAAATTTATACTCTACATAGACATCTTATGTACGTATGTATAGAAAGGATATAAACACATATATATTCATTTACCCAAACACACACACACTTGTAATTTTGTCCTCTAAAACACTGAGATGTAAAACCCAGGACCATACATTTTGTAAAATGCCTCCATTGAATTGTAATAATTCCAGAAACTGGGGTAATGTCGTTATTCTCATTGTTAATTCAGTAACAACCTAGCTGTAAGCACAAATAATGGGCTACTCACCGACTACTTTCCTCTTCCTCTGAAACCTGTAAGAACAAAATGCCCACTCTGCCACGTAGGCCCTGTTGTCTGTATGTCTGTCTGTGGCATTAATGTCTGTTCTATTAAATCTCCTATGAGAAGAACAATCCATCTCACTATCCCTCTTCAGCCTCCAACCTTTCAGTCATCAGGACTGGATCCCACAAGGGATCCTGTTCTCACAGAAAGCAATAGGGTTAGAAAATTTAAAGCAAAACAAAAAGGGTAGGACAAGCATAATGGAGAGGTTTCACAACGTTAAAATAACCGACATGATTCAGAAACTCAAGACTGGATTTTTTTTTTCTTTTCTTTTTTTCATGATTGGGTGAGAAGGTAGGCTTACAAGGAGAGGACTCTATCTAACACAAATTCTACCAGCAGCCATCCAACTTCTCCACGGGTTCTAGATGTTTAGATATTCTGCTGTGTACTTTTTCCCTCAGCTTAGGAGGTGCATCTCCCTCCAAACATCTACTAAACCCTCAAAAAGCTGAACAAACGAACAGGCTTCTTGAGACTCCTCAGGAAAAATAAACATTTCAAGTTTTCCAAGTTTTGTTGTACCTGTCATGGTTACGTAATTGTCAATTATGTATCTGTCTCAATACAGTGGGATCCAGACCAGAAGCATCCCAACAATGCTGAGGTAGGAATCCCCCTCATCTGCCCGTTGTGGGGAGGGAAAACTACAACTCCCATGAGGAAGTGGGGCCACGCAATCCACAACTCCCAGCATCCTTCCGGAGGTCCAAAAAGGTCAGGCTAGTAGGCAGAGTGAGACCGTAAATGTCAGCGGAAGCTGTGAAGAAGCGTCCCCTCGGGATAGCAGCGTTTGAGGAGGACTCTGCGGCTTCGGTAGAACGATACGATGTAGCGCGCGGCCTGGAGAACTTGCCTGTGAGACTGTGGCCTCCGGGGCTGGGGCCCAGGCCTAAGCCTTTCCAGGTAGAGGCGGGACTTAGTGGCTGAAAGGGCCGCTCACAGCGCCCGGAGGCAGGAGCGCCAGGGGGCAGGGGCGGGGCCTTTCCACACGGGGGCGTGGCTAAAGGGCGGTGCTAAGGGCGGCTGCTCTTACGTCCTCCTCCCCGCAGGCGGGGCTGGGTTAAAGGGCTGTCCAGAGCCTGGAGGGGCTGGCTAAAGGGTTACTCTTATTTCCCCTCTGGCGGAGCCCGCATCTTCCCACGTAGCAGGAGGAGATGGAGACCTGCCCCCAGCCTCCAGGGGAGAAACTAGAGAGCTGCTCATAGCTAGGATCCCTTTCCTAGGAGCCGAGAAAAGTAGACGTAGGCGCGTAGCTCCCTCACGTGGTAGTTGTTATAGGCTTTTTCTTAATATTTTTTTAAAATATTAGTATACACACTATTTGGTCTTATTATAGTATGTTTAAATGTTCATTAGCAGATATTAATTATATATAATAATGGGTTTCATGATGGTGTTTTCACACATGTACCTAATGTGTTTTGATCATATGCGCCACCAACTCCTGTCCTCCTTCATCTTCCTAGCCAGTGCCCCTTCAACTTTTATCTCTCTCTCTCTCTCTCTCTCTCTCTCTCTCTTTCATACGTGCCTGTGTGTGTGTGTGTGTGTGTGTGTGTGTGTGTGTGTAGACAGGGAGACCCAATGAGTTTCATCAAGGTTGTTTATTGGAACAGCAGTCTTATTTACTTTTTTTGTTTATTACTCATTTATTCATTGAGAATACCATACAATATATGTTGAAAAAAGCTGTTGGCCTGAAGATAAAGTTCTTAAATGAACAAAATTTAATATTTTTCTATGAACCTGTAATAAGACCTTGACAAGGATTTTACCTTACACTGCCTGTAAAATGGCAGTTTCCAAAGTGTGTGTGGCAGAGGAGTGACTTTTCAGAAAGAGCTTTTTTTCCCTCTGGCTTATTCTCAGAATTAGTGAGGGGTCAGAGCAAATCCGTTCCTTGTCTGGTCTCAGCTGTCTCAGCTGCAAGAAAGTTATGGTTTCTGGTTATGAATCTCTGCCCCTAGAGTCAAACTTGTCTCCTTCATGCTGAGTGTTCTTGGGCACATATAAATTAACCTCTTCAAATCCTTAAGAGCCTTTCATGTAGAGTTTAATAGTACCTCGCTTTACAGCTGCTTTGGGAATTGCTGTTTCTAGTTCTCTGTAAGAACTCAATAAATACCCATTACCACGACTACCCCAAAACCCTGCTCTAACCTTCAAGCCCTCTGAGCATAAAGAATTGGGAACAACCAAAGATGCTGACAGGATGCTTTGGATTTTGGACTTAAATAATGGCTTAGTCATCTTAGCTACTTCAAAAAGTCTGAGTTTGTTGTTTCCAAAGTGAAAATTATTTAAAATTGTATACCTTTCCCCTGTCCAGTATCAGTACAAATTAGGGCTGCCTCTTCCTTTTAGAATTTTTGTGAGCAGCAAATGGGATAATAATTTTATAGCAGATTCCAAAAGCCAAGGCAGGAGATTATATGGGATAATAATTTTATATTAAATAAATTATGGGATAATAATTTTATAGCAGATTCCAAAAACCAGTTGCTAGGAATGTAGCTCAGTGACAGAGGCTTTATACTTAAGTCCCCGGGTTTGATCCCCTACAGCATCAAAAAGTTAAAAGGTTTTACATAAGTATCTTCTTTAAAATCCTTACAGTCATTAGTGTCCATAAACTCAGGGGATTTGATGTACTAATCATAGTTTTCAAATTAAAATTAGTACCTGTCTATTTTTAAAAGGAAGAGGGAGGAGAGAAGCAGCCCACCGTATGATTGATCCTTAGACCAACCATTGAAGGCGTACATTAAAGTCTGGAGAACAAAACTGTTGGGAAAGGATATTCCTGGTGTCACAAAATGAGATACTGAACAAAGTAGAAGTAACTCAGCCAGGTAATTTTACTCTTGCAAAAGGGTGCACAGTGGCCCATACCAGCTGAACAAGCACACCCGGGGGAAGAACACGTAGCTGTGTCTCACTCCATTGGTAGCAGCTCAACCTCACAATCTAACATGATTGGCTGTTCAAAATGGGTAGGCAGGGGAAGGCTGCTATAGAGAGTTGAGCTCTGAGAATGTCTACCATCCAGAGTTCGGCCAACAGGCAGACTAGTAAAATTTTCACAAGATGGAGGAGTTTATAGGGTATTGGCATTTGGGGAGGCCAGCCATCTCCAGGAGAAAAGAATGCTTTTCAAAAAACATAATCGCATGCTTAACACTAAAAGACAAGCCTCATGGTGGTTTTAGTGGTGTAGGATGTGTGCTAGGAATACTAGAGATACAATGTAGAATTCTGTATGTGCTACACAAATGCTCCACCACTGACCTACACTCCCAGCTTGCCTTCAGCTAATTTTTTTTTCCATGTATTCCATTAGCATAAAAGTATTCTTACAAAAAGTCAAAATATCTTACTTGTGGCACACTCTGGCTTCACAGGCCCACACAACCATTAAGGCATGAAAAGCTCAAGGTAAAAATAATTTTATGTCTGCTTTACTTTGGGGTGCCATGTAAAAAGAAAAGGGAACATTGAAATGTTCAGATTAGAAGCCAGCATATCATAACGTCCGCAGGGTTGAAAGCCAAGGAGAAAATAAACTAATTGGTTTTCTTGAGCTAAGTCAGGTCTAATCATTTGTCAGGTCCCTCAGTTCAGCTTCAAATGTTATTTTTAAGACCTCAGCTGGGCCTTGATCAGAATTATCTGGCTCACAGTCTCCTAATGGCTGTTAGAAGCAAAACAAACTTACAACACTAGAGGCCAAGTCCAATGATTCTTGTAGCTGAGCTTTCAACACAACCAAAAAAGGAAGGAAAGTTGTTAGAGTACTTCCTTAAGCATGCCTAAGGTTCAGGAAACTTCCTTAAGATTTGTGCTCATATTTAAAGTCCTCGTACTAGACTTGTGCTGACTCTCTGGGGCTCTGATACAGAATGGTAATCAGAACAACTTACAGTTGAAGGTTATCTAGAGCTGCAGTGGAGCAGTCAGAACAGACTGGATGTCTGCTGTGTGTCCAGAACTACAGATTAGAAGGACACTTCATGATACACCAAAGAACTCATGTTGTCCCGTCAGACACATTAGTTTGAAAAATGACACCCTCTCACTTAACAAATTCAACATTCAGGTCAGTCTATGCTGGCCTAGTTCAGAGAGGAAGGCATCATGAAAAAGAAGAGCAAAGATAGTATATTTTTCAACATGCTTTATGGTGTTTCTGTTTTGGTTCCCGAGATAATTACTATTTTCCTCAAGTTTTTTGTCAAAAAAAAAAAAAAAGTCGAAATCTCTGTCTGAGATGTGATTTATAGAGAGTCAGTTCAACACTGATCATTTTGCATTTATTTCTAACTCTTTCGTATGACAATGTAACTTTCGTATGACAAAGTTCTTTGTGTTTTTCTGCTGATTCCAAATCCCAATATTTGCATATTACTGTTAGTGGCAGTGTTTGTTGATAAATAAAGGAAGTCTGGGCTAGGTCAGCTTTTATTCTCCTCATTCAAAATGAGTAAGACACCAAGGATAGGAAAGTAATTCATAGACAGGATTTTTGTTTGGATATGTTTGCATCTAGGAAGTTTAACTCCAGAACCTATTTTTTTTTTCAGTACCTACTACAATGCCTGTTTATTTTTTCCTAAATTTATATGCCAGCCCCAGTTGTAATTATTCAGCTTCTCTTTTATGTTTTTCTTTAAAAGTGAGCTAGATTGATTAGAGAGAGAGAGTACACAAAAGGTAATATTTTAAAGCAAATGCCAGGCCCTGAGTAGCGCTAGCTTTCTCGGCATTCACGCACACCACACCCAATATTAGTATTTTCCCTGTCATAACTGTCGATCCAGAACTTAGCAAATCATTTGCAAGGAGTCACCATGGCAGTGTGAGCCTGGCTCTGGATGTGTCTCCAGAATCTGCACTGAGAAACTTGGCCCCGTGTTCCTGGCCACAGTTGTGTTTTCTGCTGAACTGCTCCACCGTTTATTCCAGTATCTTAATCCTGGTTGGAAACCTGGTAGTTCTCTGAGTACATTTTCTAGCTGTTTCTGACCACCATTCCCAGCTTTCACCCAACTTTACTAGCCAGGACTCTCTTGATTGCATGAAACATGAATAACCCTCAAACTGGCTCAAACAAAAGAGGGGGAAATTACCTCACATAATGCAAATGTCCCAAAGTGGCTATCATAGGTCTGTCTGGATCAAGACTGTTAATATCTAGTAATATGTCACCGTTACACTTTCTATTTGTAGGATTAAAAAGTCTGAGCCCATTTGGATATTTCACCCTGAGCTCGAAAACCCACCAGTCACTGAGCTCCAAATCCCTGGGCTTGCCTTGAAATGATACCAATGCCCACCCTGGAAAACTCCAATAGACTCTCAACTGCCAAGGTACTTTTCATTTCAGAGCTGTATGGGAGAAACCTTGCCCCTCAAAGCTATGATACACTGTTCAAACCTCTACTTCCTTTTCCGTGCTTGGCTAAGTGGGAAGTCTTGTCTCTACTATAAACCTGATACTGAGCCTTCTGTGGAAGGGTCCTTCTTCTTTGTATCAGTAACCCAGATATTTATTTCTTTGTTCTGGCTTAGATGGTTTGTCTGGCCACAAACCAAACACTTCCTGGTTCTCTTTAGTTGTTGTTCTTGTTCTCGGTGCTATTTTTTGTTTCTTGACTTGGGTCTGTTACAGCCTCGGTTGATCATGAACTGTCTGAGGCCAAGGACAACCTTGAACTTCTATTCCCCTTCCATCTGTGGAATGCTGGGAACAACAAGTTCGTGTGCCTCAACTGGGGTTTGTGTGCCTCAACTGGGGTTTGTGTGCCTCAACTGGGGTTTGTGTGATACTGGGCTTGGAACCCAGGCCTTCCTATATGCTAAGCTAGTACTCTACCAACTGAGCTGCACCCTCAATCCAAAAACAAACACTTGAAAAAAATTAGTGATGTTCTGTGTAGGCAGGTCAACTTCTGGAACCATCTGGAACCTTCATCCAAACCCCTGAGTAAAGAGTGGAGAGATTTCTGGAAGGAATCGGGGTTAAGCACTTCTGCTATGACCAAAGCCCTGGCCCGCCCTTGGTGTCCTGTAGGCACAAGCAGTCTTCAGGTTTAAGAATCCTTGCGGATGAATTTGGTCCACAGGTTTCTAAGAGGAAGTAGGGTACACACAGACTTCCTACAGCTTACAAACTGGATACATTTCAGTTAAAATCAAGTAGCTCCTCCCAGTTCGTAGCACACTCCCCACTATCAAAGTTTACAGTTTGCCAAACATACACATTTGAGTAAAATGTCTGATGATTGATGACTTCAAATTGTCTCTAAAAAGATTAACTACTTTCTCATTATATAGCTAACTCTCTGAAAAGATGGATAATCACATAATAATATGTTATGTGATTAAATTAGACATCGTTTTAAAAGGGTTTTGGGAATTCAGTTTTGGTTTTGGTGATATGGATACTTAAGCTGAGAGCCTTTGCATGCTTGGAAACCACCACTGAATTACCTTCCTACCTCAAAAGATTATTCTCCCTTAGAGTTATTTTTAAAATCAGTAAATTAGGGCTGGACAGATGGCTCAGCGGTTAAGAACACTCACTGGCTGCTCTTCCAGAGGTCCTGAGTTCAATTCCCAGCAACCATATGGTAGATCATAACCATCTATTATAATGTGATCTGATGCCACCTTCTGGCATGCAGAAAGTATTTTTTCTAACCTTTTTTGGAAAAAAATGAAGATAAAGAAAAAGTGCTTATATTTTATAACCAACACTGGTATCAAGGACAATGATTACATGTATTTAAATATATATATATTTTTTATTCTGTGCTGGTAAAATTTCTCAGTGGGGAGAGACACTTGATTACAAACTGGAAGTTTGCCTAGAAGCCTGTATTGTCTTTTCAAAGACACCTGAAACTCATTTGGAATTTGCTGCCATTTGTGACCCAAGTGTAAAGGATCTCAAATTGTCAGACAATTTTAACTACAGAATTTGTAAATCAATCATTTTGTCTATTATCTGCCTATCTCTATCTCTCTATATCTCCTTCTGGTAAGGATCAAACCCAGCACATTCCTTGTACAAGGTAGGAAAATATACAAAAACATACAAAAGAATGTCTCACAGTAAACTACGAATTGGGGGTGTAGCTCAACAGTACAGTGCTTACCTAGCATATGTGAGGCCCTAGGTACAATCTTCAGGACAGAAAAAAAAAATGAGTAAAATATAATAAAATAAGTCCTGAAAATATTTTTTTAATTTCTAAGTAGAAATAAACAACTAATTTTTAGAGGGGGGAAAAAGATATTCTCCTGGTTAGAAAACTACAGTAAGTCAGACTTGATTTTAAAAGGAATCATCTATGTTGGGGGAAAAAAATCATTTTATAGTTCAGTGCTTTAGATGGATATGCTCCTTGAGGAACAGATCAGTTTAAAAATAGTCTTCATGAAAAGTTTTACAAGGGGATCATAAAATCTTCATTTTAGAGCTACTTCTTGAAATGCCTCAATAACCATTTACATTTCAGCGTTGAATTGTTAAAGGGCCAAAAGTGGGCTCTGGGTAAGAGCACTAACTTCATTTGATGGACAGGGGCATCGTTTTGTGAGAGTCCCTTCACCCCTGTAGGACATCCCTGCTCAGCTAAAGTGGTAAGACATAATGCAAGGGGAAGCTCTTTAACTCCACACCCCCAAATCACTGTCTAAGCAGAAGGCTGGCCTGCCCCCCACCCCAGACTCCCACTCTTCACCTTCTTAATCTTTTACCAGGAATGCCAATCCTCCCCCAGTTCTGTGCTTTTTTAAAGTGTAGGCTTCTGCACTTAACTGCACAGCTCCATCAAGCCCCCACAGGGAGCGGCACTACATGCTGTTCAGTGTCGTTGTAAAGATGGGCTAGGAGACATCCTGTTAACAGGGACAAAGATGGGCAATTCCAACATTGCTCAGGATCCTGTAACATCCTTACTCCAAATGAAAAGCCATGCAGTTTGTGCCTAGCAGAATCACTCTTACCCAACTCTATTGGCACAGTAGAATGCCACTTTACTAAGGGTGAGAATAAAAACAATCCCCAGGAACTGTCTCTTAACCAAAGAATGAATAGTCTAGAAGGACACATTGGTGACATTTCTCTTTTATTTGTAATAGAAAAAGTCAGTGTTGCTTCAGATCGTGAAGTTGGTCCTTACAGTGCAAGGCTTGCATCTAGTCATGTGTTCTCTTTGAATTGACTGCTTCTAGGTAAAGCCAAGTGTTCAGTCTGTTTCTGCTGTACACTTTATATGTGTAAGCTCACTGGGTAGGTTTCCTTCACCCTTGATTAGTCAGATTTCTGTTATTGTAACAAAATTCCTGAGATATACTCAGTTAAAAAAGTTGAAAGGTTATTGGGCATGGCAGCTCCCCTCTGTAATCCATGCACTTTTGAGGATAAAACAGAAGGATTAACAAAAGTTTCATGGCATCTGGAGACTGTCTTAATCCACGGCCACCACTACCTTCCTCACTTGCTCTCTACTTTTTCTGTTTGAGCCAGGGTCTCTTATTGAACTTGGAGCTCACTGGTAGGCTAGACTGGCTAGCCATTGAGTCCTAGGGACCCTGCTGCTTCCACATCTCCAGCACTAGAATGACAGATGCACACTGCCACACCAGACTCTTATTCACGTGTTCTGAGGGGACAGAGACAGGTCCTTGTGCTTTTGTGGCAAGCACTCCACAAGCTAAGCCATCTCCCCAGCCCTAAGGGATCCTTTAAGCTTCAGGGTTTAAAATTACGCTTCTTAACAGCTGTAAGGAAATAATTAGGACAGCAGCCTTTCCAGAGATTTTAGATTTGAGGCATCATTCTTCCTATTTTATAACTGTAATGTTTTGAAAATACAAGTACATTCAAAACACCAAGAAATGTTTTCAAATTATTCCCTTATCATTCAATAAGAACAAAATTTCTTTATATGTATCTGATACATCTATAATTATATATTGATACCTATTTAATAGATTAGATTTCATAATTATTTCTGTGGTTGATTAAACATTGATGACTTTCTTACTGCCAGAAAAAAAACACCTGGGATGACTTATCATGAATATATGTATGCATATATATTATCAGATAAAGCTAAAAAGAAAAGAAAAGCTAGGGAAAAATGTTAAGCTTCATGTAGATGTCAAATTGAGTCGTTTTTGGTCAAAGCGCTAGGGACTAAACGCTTCTGAGCGCTCAGCCCTAAATGGAACATGTTCATCAGTCCTCCCACCCTGCCAAGGCTCAGGGAACATCACAGAAGAGGAGGCGGGGAGACGTAAGGGCTGGAGGATGGGGAGGAGTGCTTCTGCATAGGACCTGTTGCACTCATGAGTTCACAGCAGCTGGGGTTAGCTGTGAAGACACACACCAGATAAACCAGCCAGACTTCCAGCACGAATGGGGAAGGAGCGCAGGAGGCCCCTCCCCGACTGATGAGCTATTGGCAGATGACAGCTGCTGGTAAAAGGAAATCAGTCTTTGGGGGGGTGGCTACTGCCCACAGCATGCACATGTGGGCAGCACTAAATGGATTAGAAGGATATTTTAAAAGGACAAAAGGAGGACACGAAGATGGGAGGTGGATGTGAGGTGTGGAGTCAGGAGGTTATGATCATATTTCATCACGTACACATACACAATTCTCAAAGAATAAAAAATAAAATTTCAGTTCCTAATATCCAAAACTATGAGGGAAACAAAACAAGCTTCAAAGATTTCAATTCCTAATTATAGAAAAAAAATCTATTGTTATTTTTATTACTGTAAGACCACAAAACTTGAACTTTGAGAAGGTAATTTGTGGGACTGGAAAGAGTTATCTTCAGATAACTGGCTGCTTCTGCAGAGGATCGAAAGTTTGGTTTCCAGCACTTAGGTCGGACAGCTCATAACCTCCTGTGACTTCAGCTCCAGAGGATCACATGTCCTCCTCTTATATCCATGGGTACCTGCACACATGTAACGCACACAGACACACACCTTCACGTAAGTGAAAAATCCAGATAACCCTTTAAATTAATTTCTTTAAGTAGGAGAGGCTCCTCTAAGGTAATGCTTCAGTATGTTATATTCTTGCAGGTTTGTTTTGTCCTATTTTCACATATGCTGAAATTTTTAAATGTCTCCGCTAAAAGCTGCACACATATTAACATCCGTATGAAATATGTGAATGCCACTCTAACCAGTATTTCTAATTTTTGCAGTATGCTCCTGATCATGTAGCGGGGCCTGGAGCAGACATGGACCCCACACAAATAACCTTTCCTGGATGTGCTTGCATCAAAACACCGTGTGCCCCTGGCACTTGTTCCTGTCTCCGCCACGAGAATAACTATGATGACAATTTATGCCTTAGGGACATGGGATTGGAAGCAAAGTACGCCAAGCCAGTTTTTGAATGCAATGTCCTGTGCCAGTGTGGTGATCAGTGTAGAAATAGGGTGGTCCAGAGTGGTCTTCAGTTCCTTCTCCAGGTATTCCAGACAGATAAAAAAGGCTGGGGGCTTCGGACCTTGGAATCCATACCCAAGGGAAGATTTGTCTGTGAGTATGCTGGAGAGGTTTTAGGATTTTCTGAAGCACAGAGAAGAATTTGCCTACAAACAACACATGACCCAAATTACATCATTGCTGTCAGGGAGCACATTTACAGTGGACAGGTCATGGAAACTTTTGTCGACCCTACCTACATCGGAAATATTGGGAGATTCCTGAATCACTCTTGTGAGCCAAACCTGTTGATGATTCCTGTCCGAATTGATTCAATGGTACCTAAGCTGGCCCTTTTTGCAGCCAAAAACATTTTGCCAGGAGAAGAACTCTCTTATGACTATTCAGGAAGATTCCTTAATCAAACAAGCAGTAAAGACAAGGAAAGGATAGATCATGGACAACCAAGAAAGCTATGTTACTGTGGTGCCCCATCGTGTACCACTTTTCTGCCCTATGACAGTTCACTATACTCAGGCACCAGTTAGGAAGGGAGGTCCTACCTGTTGGCCTTTCCATGGACAGAAGTCGGAGGGAATCAAGTATTAAGTGACTCAGCTGCATCTGGGTCCACCTCCTGCAAGCAGCCTACTCTCAAGGGACGCATACCTTGTCCTCTGTACCTTGTCCATCCCTGTAAGAAAAACCAGGGGTTCCCTGGCCCTGCCTCTACTCAGCGACGGCCCAGACTGTAAAATGTCTGATAATACCCTTTCTCCCAGAATACTTAATTTTGTAGCTGAAGGTGGATAAGTGACTATGTTCAAGGCTACAAGTGGAAATGATAAATCCTTGTACATCGTCCTTGTATTTCTTGAAAACCAGAACTCCTACTTGATGGCTGGAGTTTTAGCAGCCATCCTAAGTAGTGGGAAAGGGCCATGCAGAGCAGATCAACAAGATTTCTTCTACTGTAGAAAATGCTGCTAGTATTGGTCTGATGCCTCTGCACTTGTAGGTGAGAAGCCTACAATGTTAAGCCATTGTTGCCTCTCATGTAAGCAAACCTTATCATGATTCAAGATGACCTCAGCCTTGTCGCCTGGCTAGTTTTGTCAGTAATAAAGCTGTTTTGTTTTTCTGTCTGTTTGACTCCTGCTCTTATTTCTTGTTTGGAAGAATGTTAAGTTATTACCTGCTAAAACTTAATAATTAACAACAAGAATGAAGTACAACCATGAGAATGATTTCCACTTATAATCAGGTCAGGAAAGGAAGCCTATTGTCTAGTTTTTGCTACACTCTTGGCTGTGTTCCAGAGCTTGTGAAGTTGGGTTTTAATACGTCAGATAGCCTCAGTCCTTCATTTATTAATCATTTATTAATAACACAAAAATAGCCTATCAACACCATAGAAGTAGATGAGAGTTTTATAATTCCATTCAAACATTTGGAGGGACAAAGGCCTCTGCCTTCCTTAAAAGAAGGATAGTATAAAAACATAGTCAGCTATAGTCTAGGGAATATAGCTCCATGGTGGAGCACTTGGCCAACAGGCAGAACCTCTGGGTTCCAGCCTATCTACCACAAAAAAGATAAATAAGCAGACAGCTTTTTTAAAAATCAGATTAATTCTACATATATTTTATGGAAATGAAATATCTTAAAAGGCAATTATTCAATTATGTATATTGTTAGTAAAAAGAAATTGATTTCTGTTGGACATATAAACCATACTACAAGAAGGTTCTGTGCTTTAAAAAGAGATATTATTTATAACACCCTATTCCAGTGTAATAACCTAGGTGTGTTAGTTGTCCACCAGAAATAAGGAAAATTTATATGAATTATCTGTGAATATACCAGAGTTTGCATTCTCATAGCATCAAAAATTATTTCCTGGGAATAATATAGTAAGTTGTACATAAAATGTCCCAATTTACAAGGGTACAAAGTCAAAATTACCCTCCAAACTAATTATTTCTCCTTGCCAACCTTCCTTGTACTTTGATTTCTCTGGGTAAAAATAAAACTTGCTTTTTGTAATTCAGCTTGTATCTTGCACTCCAAAATGCCTCTTTTCCATATACTATTACTAAAGGACCTAAACTACATGATCAGCAAGAAGGAAATTCTTGCGGGTAAATGTTTAGCTTACTACCTGGTTGAGATACCCTTTGCTGCTTTTTGCCCACCCTTTAATGAATGTCTCCATCTTGACTCAGGGATATTCACGAAAGACAATCTGCTCAGAGACACATTAGCACCCACCACTTTGGTGCTACAGCTACAGAGAAAACCAAATACAGTGAGACACTAGAGGTGTGTGTGCATCTTTTGTCTTAGTTACTTTTCTATTGATGTGATAAAACACCATGACTGAAGCAATTCAGAAAAGAAAGTGATTGGGCTTGTGGTTCCAATGAGAACCCATGATGGCAAAAGCGTGGCAGCAGGAACAGCTGAGAGCTTACATCTTGATCAACAAGCACAAATAGAACTGGAAATGGGATGAGTCTTTGAAACCTCAGAGCCCACTCCCAATGGCACACCTCCTCCAACAAGGCCACACCTCCTAATCCTTCCCAACTGAGAATCAGTTGATGTCAATGTATGAGCCCATTAGGATCATTCTCACATGTACTTTCTTATTAAGATGGAGTCCTGAAAATCATACCCCTAAGGTTAAATCTGAAGCCTTTTCTAAGTGCCAAGTAAACTGCATTTGCTTTGTTTTCCTTAACACTGCCATGAGGACTGCAAAGACATGTCACTAGTTAAAGCACTGGCTGCTCTTGCAGAGGACCCAGGTTTAGTCCCTGGAACATGTAGGGCAGCTCACAACTGTCTGGAACTCCAGTTGCAGGAGATTTGATGCCCCTCTGGCACCCATGGACACTTGAAACCCAGGTGTGTGTGGTACACATACATAAATACAAGCAAAATATTTGATACCCAAAAAAGCTGATACTACCACTTTTCACAGAAGACTTTTTAAAAATATACTTCTGGTTGACTATGATAAAAAAATAATAATAACATGACTCACATGGTATGATAAAGATGGCACGGCACTTCTGTGATCCTCCTAGGTCCCATCACCCCACTATGGTCATGAAAAACAAAGATAAATATAATAATAATAAAAAAAAAGGCATTCTACAAAAGTTTCCACCATAACTCCTTAAAAACTGCCAAGGCCATCAAAAACTAGAAAAGTCAGAAATGGCTAAGTAACTAAAAGTGTTGGTTGTTCTTCCAAAGGAGCTGGGGTCAATCCCAGCAGCCATCTGAACTCCAGTTCTGAGGTATCTGGTGCCCTCTTCTGGCCTCCATGGGCACTTACATGTAGGCAAAACACCCAAAACAGATTTTTTAATTGTATGTATGTATGTATGTATGTATGTATGTATGTATGTATTTATTTATTTATTTATTTATTTATTTATTTATTTGTAATTGCAAAAGAAGAAAGTCAGTCAGCAACAGCCACAGCCAAGAGGAACCAAAAGAGAAATGACATCTAGATGCAATATGATGTCCTGGCGCAAAAGATAACAGGTAAAACTGCAGCATCAACCACAGACTTAAGAATGACATGGCCGATATTGGTTCGCTAACTATAGCAAATGTAACGTGAAGATGAGAGGTAAGGTAAACGTACTATGATGACAGTAGATGCCACTGGATGACACAACTCTCAGTTTTTCCGTAAGTCTAAAACTATTCCATAAAAGTAAGCGCAAGCGATTTGAAAAACTATTTCTCTGACAAGAGAATGAAAAGATGCTCAAGGTCATTAATAATTAGGGGTGTGCAAATGAAAGCCACGGGTACCACCTCAGATTCACGACGACAGCTATCATCAGAATGACAATGATAAAAGACTGACAAGGATGTAGAGATATTGGAGCATCATAAATGATAAAAGGGATTACAAAAGTATACAGCTTTTTTACTAGGCAATTCCTTACTGAATGTAAATAGGCAGACCCGCAAGAAACATGGGTACAAAGCTCATACTATTATTCATAATAGCAAAAGTGTGACAAAAAAAACAAAAACAAAACAAATGGCCAGTGGTTGATGTGCAAATTCATGAAATGTGGTGTCCATCCATTCAGCAGAGTATTATTTGGCCTTGAAAACAAAGTACCGGAACACACTATGACTTCATTGGCTTTTGAGAAAAGACATTGTGCTAAATAAGAGATGCCAGAAACATCTAGTCAATAGAATGTAGTTCTATATATGTGAACTGTACATAACTTCTGAATTGGCAATTCCATAGAGTCATAATATAGATTAATGTTGCTAAGGGCTGGACACAGGAGGCAGTATGGGGATTGTGATGGATATTGTTGGCTGTCAACTTGATCACATCTGTATTTAGCTAAAACTCTGATGGCTGGGTACACTCTGAGGGATTGTTTCTTAATTAAATCATTTGATTTATTTATATGGATTTAATAATAATATTTAATTTTACAGATCTGTGAAGTGGAAGATACACGTTTAATCTGGGCTGTACTTTCTGCTGACAGGCTATATAAGGGATATGGAAGAAGGAAGCTTGCTCTCATGTTGCCTTGTTCTCATTCTCACTGGCAAATCTATTTCTAAACTGGCATTACAGCCTATTTCCTCAAGATTCCAGCATACACTGAAGACCAGCTGAAACATCTAGCCTTTTGAACTAAACAATTACTAGATTCTTGGACCTTCCATTAGTGAATGGCTTTTGTTGGACCAGCTGAAGCACAGCCTGTAAGCCATTCTAATAAATCCCCTTTAAATAGATAGATAATAGATAGACGGATGATAGATGATAGAAAGGTAAATAGAGCTAGAGATAGGTAGGTAGGTAGGTAGATAGATAAGTAGGTAGGTAGGTAGATAGATTGATAGATAGATGATAGATAGAGGATGGATAGATAGATAGATAGATAGATAGATAGATAGATAGATAGATAGATAGAT